GCCCTAAGGGCGAGACATGCAGGAAAATAAAGGGAATGGAGACGAACAAGTATGGTGGTTTTGCAGTATTGCATGCAACCTGGTGTGCTCGCTCTGTCTCTCTCGCTGTCTCTTTCTGTCTCTGTCTCTCTGTCTCTCTCTCTGTTTCTCTGTTTCTGTCTGTCTGTCTCTGTCTGTCTGTCTGTCTGTCTGTCTCTCTCTCTCTCTCTCTCTCTCTCTCTCTCTCTCTTTCTTTCATTCTTATCATACAATAAGCTCTATTTTCTCTAAAACTAAGACCGCTTGCATGTGGTCTCTCACAGCTTAAGCTGGATGGGCTGAATGAAATGTCCTCTAGCTGCCAAGAACCAGGAAAATTCAGGTTACATTTTTTCTGGTGCTGAAATGAGGGGTTCCTAAACTTCTTCCTACTCTCCCAAGCCACAGTGAGACAAAATGATCACGGTGTTTCCTGCACTGCCTGGTTTTCTTTTTCTTTCCACCTATTATTATAGAGAGGTAAATTAGATAGAAATATTACAGACAGACAGGACTAGCCTCTTGAGGGAGTCAGTGCAAAGGATGCGGAGGATGCTACATTACAGCTGTGGCTGGAGGCCCATCTATTAAAGGTCAAGCCCTCATATAAGGACAAAATGACAAGGCCCACCTACCTCACCAAGGGATAAGCAATAAATTAAAGGTTATACTATAATTGGTGTCACCTGATACAGTAAAAAAAATCTAGCTCAACAACAGTTACCCAGGTAGGTAACCAGGACTCCTGATCCATCCTTTCCTAAAAAGGCCTTTGTTCTTTCCATGTAGCTTTCTCTGTGACCCGCTTCCCTGCTAGAACAATATTACCTAGGCAGCTAGACTTATGATCTTATTGGCTGACCATAGTTTTGACCCACTGTCTTAGTTACATTCTCATTGTTGGGACAAAAATATCTAACACCCAAAGTTAAAGAGGCAAAAGTTTCTCTAGTTCACAGTTTGTAAAGGTTTAGGTCCACAACTGGCTGGCCCGAAGGCAGGGTGGCCTGGCAGAGAACAGTTCATGGTACCCACAAGGCAGCAAAAGCAAGAGAAAAGACTCTTTCTGTCCTTATATTGTATGCAGACTACCAACGTAGGGTGGTTGTAGCCCTCACGCCCTTAATCCTAGCCAGGACTAAGCCAAACCAATCAGTAAACTACTTACTGATCACATGCCTTTAATCCCAGCATTACACACTCTAGATTTAGCCACCTCTGAAAAAGTCCTGTTACAGCATAAAGCTTTGGGGGGACATCAAGACACAAAACGTAACACCCATGTCGTACCCACTGCATGACTTTGTACCCATCACCTGATTTTGCTCTATAAAACTTCCTTTGAAAAGTGGACTCCTTGGCAATTCACTTTTGAGTCCCCTCTTGGCTCCTGCGAGCTAGCTCTCTCAATAAATTTTTCATACTCCTAACCTTCATTTTTCCTTCGAATTTATTCTTTGATTTTGGAAAACACAGAGTCAGAATATCTGACACCTAACAGGTTTAGACTCATATAACTTCCCCTCTATCACTCCAACTTACTCTGTAAACTTCTGCTGTGAATTGTTTGTTAGGATTCTTCGGAGAGCTGTCGGTGGGGTAGCCTGCAACTCTGTTGATCCCAGGTGCCCAGGACCCACCTCCCAGTATAGGGGGCTCATGCCCCGGTTGCTTGCTACAGTACTTCATTAATGGACACTGGTTAGCTAAACCTCCTCTGTAGACTTGTAGGACTGACAAACTTCATTATTTTTCAAGGATCTCCATCAAAACCCCCTGCAAAGGCTGTTCTGTCAACAAAGGTAGAAACCTATTAATCTCTAAGAGAAAGCACCCTGGTCCTCCTTCATGAGAAAAGGCCCAAACTGATCAAAATTATACAGTATGCCATCCGAGCATCTGGAGATGAGAGATTAATGAGTTTAGGCAGTTTTCAGTGGCTCAGCCCAGAACCAAACCCCTGGAACCTATTTAATTCTCTCTTAGATCCTCCCCATGTAGTATCTGTAAGGACCTAGACTGGAGACTATCTTTTATGTTGTGGTGTGGCTTCTACTACCCTGCCTGCTTCCTCCTGTGGATGGAAAGAGATTCCTGACAGGCTTCGAGACATAAGCTCTGTGTTTGGATCTGGTACCACTCAGACAACAAAAGACCTGTCTACAACCCTCTCTTGAGAAAACTTCTGGAGTAAGTGGGGAAAGACTGAATTCTGATTCTTAAGAAGGAGAAAAAAGTTTAACTTGGTCTCCCTCAAGGATCTGGCCACTCTGACCCTGTGGAGTTTGATTTATCAGGTGCAATATCAACAGCTGGGGGATCTGTTAGGCCATCTCCTAGGGGGAGGGGACCTTGGAGCCCCACCAGATGGCAGGTCTTTCTTTTATTCCCTCTCTGGCACTCACTGGGGCACCAGTAGCCTGATAGGAATGAGCTTCTCCCACTGCTGTTATGAGGTGCGGGGAGGTAGCAAAGAGGCCGGGCATGTGGTGGCTGCTGAATGAAAATGAGCAGCAGTTAGGCTTCCAGCCATGAGCCGGAAGCTAGGAAAGGAAGTTGTCCGGCAGGCATGCTAGGGACACTCTCAGACCTCCCACCGTCTTTGTGTGCATGTGTCAGATGGGAAATTCACCGAGCCTCTGCGTGAGAACACACCTCTGGGTCGATCCTCAAGAACTGGGAGAAATTTGATACCTGTCCCTGAAGAGAAGGCCCCTGACCTTTTATTGTGCCCCGGCAAGGATAGGGTACCCACTGAGAAATGACAAGACTTGGCCAGCAGGGGGCGGTACAAACTATAATATCATTCTACAACGGTAATTGTAAAAAGGAAAATGGTCAGATTCCATATGTCCAGGCTTTGTTTGTCCTAAGGGATAATGAAACATTTTGTAAGACCTCCAAATTAATTCAACTAACTGCTATAGCACTGAAGGGTGGGGTGTCAAAAGGATACCTAGGGGAAAAAAAAAAAAAAAAGGATACCTGGGAGCCCAGTGGGCCTCAAGAGAGTCAGCCTGGCCCCAGAAGAATGACAGGGAGAGAACAAGAGAGCCAAAGGAAAATAAGACCATAAGCCATCTCTACTCATTCCTTGAACCAGTCTGGGAGGGCCATTCTCTATCTTATTTTCAACCCCTTCTGCCACTCACGTCCCAAGGAATGACCCTTGGAAACCTCATACCTGCTCAAAGCCCTGGACAAAGGATAGGGAGCTGCCAAGAGCCAAAGGCCCTCACCACCAAGAAATGACAGTCTCACAGCTCATTCCTTTAAACCCTTGGGGGGACTCGAACTGCTTCCGCAAAGACACCAAAAGACAGGGAATGACTATTACAGGAGCTTTGACCCATCCATTCCCCTCTCCTGGATTAAGCATTTCCTTGGGCTCTTAATTCTGGTTCTTCGCTGGTGCTTTCTGATCTGCAGTTCCCTGCTTATTTGTACTGTAAATAAATACACTCCAACATACAACAATGAACTTGGGGCTGTTTTTCCCTCCTGCTCACTTTAGCAGGGAGTGTTATAGGATTAGAGTCTGATTCCCCTGATACAAGGATACAAATAGCTTCTACTATACAAAGAGACCCAACTTCACTAACCAGTAGGTATGTACTACTATAAGACTTAGGCCCCAACGTCTTAAGGACAGATGGATAGATACCGCCTCCCTGGTGCCACCCCAAAGCCTAGTTACCCTAATCTAATACAGCTTTCAGCCCACTCTACTCATTATCCATAAAGACACAGCGATCTGGGAGACCAATCTTGGAGGGACAGCTTCCTCTTTCCTCCAAATCCATAATGTCCAGTGCAAGAGTACCTTATTTCGTAACCTTAATTCTGTCCATGATTCTAGTTTCAAAACCAAATTGAATGAGAGCTGAATCAAATTGAATGGTGAGGTTCAATGTGGACCTTATGGGAAAATGTGGTTTGGCCCTCATTCAATTCAGTCTGCAACCTTAATTCTTGGAAAGAATTAAGTTCATGAACCCAGATACCACTGTAATGGAGGTGGTTACTTCACCTTCCTCAGGAGATCCTACCACCCCAGGAAGCCATGTGTCCCATAGTTAAGTTCACTTTTGCAATAGACCTGACACTTGTCCCAGTCAGAGCCAATTCTGACCAGTACAAGGCCACAAGGTTGGGTAACTCCTTGCCACCTGCCTCAGGAGTGAAGTTTTGATCTTAATGCCCAAGCCTACTGACAAGGGATACATTGGAATCCCAGTTTCAGAGCCCCTGCCTGTATGGGCTTTTACCTATCGACAACTCCCCTGCCTTAAGTCTTTCTGGTTATTCATCTCTTCTAGAAAGCTGAAAGCTCAAGAAATAAGTCTACCATATCTGAAGCATGCATCTAAACTTTAAAAAAGTTTACTTCATATTAATTTCATAAAGCAAAGAATTTGCATTTCTTGGTGTATAATCATCTTGCCAGTACCAATATATAATGCACTATTTAAGGATTTGCTTGCTTTGCTTTTCCAGGGCAAAGTTGCTGTGCGTCCATTTGGTCAGAAGTGTGTTTCAGAAGTAAGCCTCTTTCTTTCACGCAGCACTTTCTGTAAAGCTTCCTTGTGCCCCAGGTACAGTTATTTGCTCTAAAACCCCACACTAGATGGAAACTCCCAGCCCTTGACATCAGTACCTTGTGTTACAGACACCTGTCTCCCACAGTAGGTTGTGAGCGCCTCAAAGGGAAGCCACTTAACCACATATGTGTGTCACAGTCGGCTTTGGATGTAGTAAATGTGGAATAAAAGTAATGTGAAAGATAGATGAATAAGCAAATGGTTTTCTCGGGGTCATGTGGCTGGTAATTAGTGAGGCTGATTCGAGACCTTCTGAGCTCCCTTTATGTCACAGTGCTGCTATGCAGAAGGCAATGTCACAATGACATGGAGGGAACTTTCAGGGCGGGGCCATTCCTTAGCAGTCAGTCTTCTATTTGCTTTTAATTGGTTAAAGTCCAAGTAGGAACATGTTGACACATGGATATAATTTATGAGATATTTGCTGAAAGTCCTAGTGAGGAACTGTTCAAGCCCAAAGTTTTTAGGAAATTCACGAAGACCGAGCCATATGATCTACCCCAGCTGACAAACACCACGCAGTGGAACCGCCAGCCATTCCTTTGGGACTTTGTTCTTGGTAATCATGTTCTTGCTCTAGCACACGTATGCAAACTTACCCGATTTTGGAGTGTTAACAGGAAGTGGGGGGTATACACAGGATTGCATGAGGACCTGATCCTGGGTTCAATGCGGGAGAGCTCTGCTCATTGTCATAAGCCTTGGCAGGAGGAGCCCCCGCTCACATAAAAAGAACACCTTTTCTTTCATTTTATTTGTCCAACCCTTAGAGATTGCTGTAGCCCTGGTCTTGGAGGTGGTAGATTAGACATACACTAACATTTATTAAATGTCAATTCTTGATTAGTTTCTGTGCAAAATCTGCCCCTGTGTTAACGCTTAAATTCTCATAGCCACTCTAGGAGGAGAAACCTCTTTAGTGCTATTTTATAGATGAAACAAGGCATAGGTACTTTAAGAAACTTCAAATACTTATTGAAGACCAAAGCCTATGTTCACTCTTCTACCCCAGATGGGAGAGTCTAATCTGTAAGAAATCCTAGAAAGTGGGATGTAACAAATCTGCTTCACTCCTCTTTACCTCCTTTCACTAAACACACCTATTCTCTGGGTTTTAGAGTTTTATTCCCTGAATCAGAGGTTGTCAACCTTGTTGAGACCCAAGGTTTGATTTCAGTAACAAATTATTTTATAATGCCTCCCTTTATTATCCTAAAATTAAATTCACAGGTAACCTGCCCTGCATGATTTCATAAATGACTCAGTATAAAGTCATGAGTGTAATATACAAGAGAAAAGTAATTTCTAATAAAATGCTATGTATTCAGTATACAAATTCTCAGACATAACTACTTTAGAAGACAAAATCTGGCATTGTATTGTATAATGCATAAGGAGCAGGTCAGGAGTCACTTTACATGAGCAGTGTGGGAAAATAAAAAAGCAGATTTACAGGTGGACACCACAGCAAAAACTAGGAGAACTCACAGCACTTCAGACTTAACAGGTTCTAAAGGTAGAAAAGCACAAAGATAATACTGTATCTAAGTAAATTACAACTCACTGAAGTTAGAAAAAAAATAAAGAAGGTATTTGAGTATCCTAGTCTTGAAAAGTAAGTAAACTATGTTCATTTGGTATTTGAGTATCCTAGTCTTGAAAAGTAAGTAAACTATGTTCATTTGTGAAGCTTATCAGATATTTTAAAAATAAATTATTATATTGGGCTGTGATACGTACCCCAAAAGGTCCAAGATTGGCGAAGCACATCAGGTGAATTCACTGGTGCAAGCACCGCCCAGTAGCATAAATAGAACATTGACACTACTCTAAAATCTGGCCCCATTCTCCCACCTCGCTACGAAGTCTGCTCTGCCAAAGTCTATTCTCCTGACTTCTAGTCCATAGCTCTGTTTTACTTACTTTTTAAATTTTATATCCTGACTCTGGGTAGTGTACTATTTCTAGCTCTCTTCTTTTTTACATATGCTTTTCTGACCTAGTGTGTCACCCTCACTAAAAATGCCAGTGGAACTCTCCAGGGATGCCCTCCTGCACTGCACTCAGACACTTCTGCCCTCCTGAAAATCAACATCAGTGCCACACCAGCAGGAAGTCCACACATCTTCTTCACCTGGGCCAACTCTCCCAACACCATGCTGTATGTGCACCATCCAGCATCCTACCTTGGGGTTCCTATTGCATTTTTGTGATCATCTTCCTTAATACTTTTCAATCCAGAATACCTCCTCTGCCATTTTTTTCTCCTTCATATCCTTGGCTTTTTGTTTGTTTGTTTGTTTTCTTTTGCATTGGAAAGAAAAAGTTTATTATCTAGCTGGAAATTTCACTTTTTTAAAGTCATGTTACATGTTATATAAATTAAGGTTACTTTAGGAGCAAAACACAAATGTTCATATACCATCTCACCTAGCTTTTACGATGTTTGACTTTTAGAATCAACACTTGGTCATTTTCAGTATTATTAATTAATATATTTGATAAAAATTCCAATTTGACATTTATAACACAGGTACACAATATGTTGAAATTCCAGCAGCCTAAAGTTTTGTCTACCATGCACTCTTAAAATAATGAGCTAAATATTAATCTAGTCTTGCCAATCCTGCCCCTGGGGCTCGCTGAGACGGCAATTGAGTCTGGGTGTGGTGGTGCATGCTTGTAATCCCAGCACTCCAGAGGCTGTAAACAGAAGAATCACTATGAGTCCGATCTAGTAGTGAGACCCTGAACACCCTGTAGACCCTTCCCTAAAAATACAGAGAAAAAAAATGTAATCTAGTCTGTTATCTAAATGTAAAAAGAAAAAATAGCTTATAACCAATATACCCACTACGAAATAAGTTATCAAAAAGCATGGGCAGCTTCCTCCCTCCATTATAAAAGATCAAAAATCCCATGTAAAAATATAGTATTTCCCTAGTCAACTGAAAACAAAATATATGAGGTAAAAGACTAGTAAGTCTTAGAAGTAACACAAAAGTGATCCAGTCATATTTTAGGTAGAAGTGACAAACATATTCCTTTTATTGTTATTAGCGTTTCCTCCAGGGAGTTCAGGCAACACCACATCTGATCTTATTGGATCCCTTTCTTGGCCATGATCTGACTCCCACACTCCGTTCCCTTTCACCTCAAAGGGAACACGTTTGTATGTGGCCACACAGTCGTCTCTGGGGTGCAGGTCAGGCTGGATCTGCTCCCAAATCATCTTATTGGGATTTAGGCCCCTGTCAAGCTCTCCAGGGAAAGCATCAAAAATGACTCTGTCTCTAGTACAGATGCATCAGGAGCAGCCAGGATTTCAGCCTTCTCCGGTGAACTGGTCACATCACCATAGCCTGAGACAAGACCCCTCATCTTTGCAGGCTTCAGATGGCAAAGCAAAATGACCATCCAATTTTGCATCTGTTCATGAGGAACATGATTCACTAGGCCACTGATGACTGTTCTTGGGGCTGCTTCTCCAACATCTGTTTCTTCTACAAAGAAAGAATCTGCATCAGCGTGTTTTTTTGGCATTAATGATGTGGCCAATTAGAAGATCCAGACAGCAAGCATCTATTGGCTTAGAGTCAGCACTCGCTGCTGCAGATGGTGGCTTTTTCTCCTTTTCAGTTTTTTCTTTCACCTTTTCTTCTGCCCCATTTTTATCTGTTCTTTGGCACCAGACGATATCGTTACTGGTGTACACTGTTCGGCATTTTCAGCAGTCACACAGTTGGCTCACATTGGAGTATGAGACGGACAAGGTATTTGTGTTACTCCACTCTGAATTTCAGCCTGAATCAGCTCCTGTTTCAGTTCTTGAATTTCTTTCTTCAGCTTAGCATTTTCAACTCGAAATTTTCTCTCTTCTCTCAGTGTTGCCTGCAAAATTGCTTTTTCCTTAAGAGCAACTTGCTGTTTAAGATGTTCAATAATTTGATCTGCCTCTGCCTCCTTCTGCTCCAGTCGCTTCAGAACAGCCTCATTGGTTGTCATTTTTGTCCCCCCCCCCAAACACACAAAAAAAAAGGATCCAGCAGAAATTCATGCAGCAGCAGACAGCAATTCCCCATGTCCTTGACATTCTTAAAGAGCATGCTGCAGAAGAATCCTTGCTCTGGTTCATTTCAGATTGTAGGGACTGGCTAAGCAAGTCCCCAATCCAGGCAGCCAGATTTTAGTAAAAGAAGATCAAAAGTAGGCTGAGTCACCCCAGGGGATGAAGTTGTTGTCTAGAGATGAAATTTCTTCTCCCAGAGGTCTCCCTTCTAGCTCTTCAGCACTGTCTTTAAAAGCAAGTCCTGTGCAATAAGATTTCTTTATTTAAGGTCAACTGATTAGGGACTTTAGCTACATTTCTGAAATGTTTTTACAATAAAACCTAGATCAAGGGCCAGCAAGATAGCTCAGCAGACTAAGTGCCTGCTTAGGCAAGTGCAGGGACCAGGGTCCTGTTGCCGCATGCCACACACCAGCCCCACCGGCCCCATCCCTGGGAGCACTGAGCCAGCTACAAAGTCCAGGCATGGTGGGCCACGGAGTTCCAGTGCTAGGGAAGCTGAGACAGAAGGATCACTATGAGTCTGAGCTGCGTAGTGAGGCCCTATTCCAAATACATTAAAAAAAAAAAATCTAGATAAATGTTGTTTTAAATAATGGGCAACTTTGTTGAAACTGTACTTCCGATTTGATTTGAAACTGTCTCATTGCTATCTGTTTATCAATAAAACTTGGAAAAAAAATAAAAAATAAATAAATAATGGGCAACTATAGCATAACTAGGTTGGCACATCAAAAAGGCTATCCCAGAAAGTGCTCCGATATTAAGCCTTGTAAAATCTTTACTCAACAATCTTGGCATCTACTTGTAACTTCTGCTTGTGTCAGCCACCACCATGATAGCTACTAAGTGGTTAGTGTGTCTTATTTTTTTAATGTGTACCAGTATTGACTTGTGTCCATTGTAGTCAATGGATTTTAAATATGGTGATGGTATTTTATCCTGATTTCAATCTCAGGAGAAAATTCTTCAGCTTTTTATAAGTTTATCTTGTATAGGTTTTCCATAGATAATAGCAAATTTAGAAAGACATTCCTAGCTCACTGAGATTTATTTTTTAAATTATGAGTAGATATCATTTGTGATATTTTCTTATTCATCGAAATAAGCACTTTTTATGGATATAGGAAATTAAACTATTTTATTTTCAAATATTATATCAACTTTGAATTGCTAGATTACAACTTTATCATGAAATGAAAAAATGTATTTGGTTTGCTTAACTTTGTTTAGGCTTTTTTCACTTATGCTTGTTAAAAAGATTTTTTTTTTCCTTGGGATATCCACTCAACGGTCATTATGGCTTTGTTAGTCTTAATAGAATAAACTGGGTAATGTCCTTTTGTTTTCTAAAAAATAGTTTGTATATAGTTGATATTTTTCTTCTGTAAATAACTGTTAGACTTTTCCAGTTAAGCCATTTGAGTTTATCATTGTCCTTGTTAAAAAGTCTCAAAGAATTTTTTTTTCAAAGAATTTTTTTTTTTTTTTTTTTTTTTTTGCGGAACCGGGGATTGAACTCAGGCCCTTGTGCTTGCCAGGGAAGCGCTTATTCCACTGAGCCATCTCCCCGGCCCTCAAAGAATTTTTAAAAGGATTGATGTTCTTTTTTTTTTTTTCCTTAGGCAGGGTTTCACTACATAGTTCAGATTGGCCAAGATAGCTTCAGATTACCTTCTGCACTATTATTATCATTTTAAGTAGACAGAATACTTCATATAAATTATACAGCAACTTTCCAACCCCATCTTTAATCCATTTAAACTTGGCTCTTTCTAACATTCTATACTACTGGGCTTTTTGCATTATCTCTTATGAAGTTTTTTTCAGTGCTAACATATGTTCTATCAATTATTTTCATAGAATCCAGCAGAAAAGACATTTGAATGCTATTGGATAATTTACTATGTGACTAGCCAGGGCCCTGAAAGATGTTTAGCTTCCCTGGCCCATTGAGTAGGAGCATCACCTTAGAAAACTTTTAAGCAAAAATACCTTCTCTATCTACAAGAAAGGATTTGGAATGTTTTTACCACAAAGATAATAAGCTTGAGGAAATACACACAGTTACCCGGATTTGAATTTTACACAACTGAAACCTCATACAGTAAGCCATGAGTACATTCAATTATTAAGTGCCAAATAAAATTATTTTTAGTACAAAGGAATCCTTCCATAAATTTCCTAAATATGCTCTAGGTCTTACTATTACCTTTTTGGGAAAACCCACCATTAAAGCTATAAGACCATCCCTAAAGACAGCCCTAACACAGAGTACTTGTGGATCATCACTAAATGGGCCAAAGAACATTGTGGCCTCCCACATGTAGACAACTCCTAAAGCCATC